TATATATATATATATATATAGAAACACGAAGAGAAGAAAGAAAAGGGGAAAAAAAAAATACTTTAAACGATTTTCGCGAATTTTTGGTGAGAAAAGAAAAAAAGAAAAAAAAAAACAAAACCAATTATAAAATACTAGCAAATTTTATTTTACTTTTCGACTGTCCTTACGATCGTTCTTCTCTTATCGACGAAAATTTGATGGAAAATAATATAAATAAAAAAGGATCTCTCATCTAAATATATATACATATATATATATATATATATATATTATATGTAATATACGTGATCGATCATAAAAATGAAAAAAAAAAATATCGGCTCTCAGACTTCCATTTGCCATGAAGACATGGCTAAAAGTATGAGCTTGAATGTGTCGTGTGTTTTTGCGAAGTCTCTGAGATGAGTTCATTTAATAAGTACTTACGATGCCCTATACGACATGCAGAGTCCAATAGAGACATGCAAAGCACCACAGAATAACATCATTGAGTCAATATAAAAATAGTAAACACATTTACACAATTGATAATAATAATAATAATAATAATAATAATAAAAATAATAATAATAATAATAATAAAAATAGAGAGAAATCTCTCTCTCTCTCTCTCTCTTTCTCTCTCTCTCTTTCTCTCTGTCTCTATCTATTTATCTATCAATCTTTTTATCTATTTTTCTCTGTCTCTCTTTTGAGAGAGAAAAGGGGTAATAAAAATACTTTACTTTTATAAGAAAATTGTTAATATTAACGATACGACAACGTTATCACTTTTTGTAAATTATAATACTTTATTTTAAATTAATATTATTATTGTTTTTGTCGATAGATACGCGTTTATGGTATTAGATTTTAATAATTGATTTTATTTTGTTTCCTGTACCCCCCACCTAACCTCAACTTCCCATTTAAATTTAGTATAAATTAACGAGAACAAAATATCGTTTACGAATATATATTTTATATTATATTTTGTTTTTTTGTTTGTTAACGTTTGATACGCGACCGAGAAATAAAACATTTTTTTATATGTATATATATATGTGTATATCTAATTAGAAATAACATGGTTTTACAAGAAAAACGAGCGTTAACAGCTGTTACAATATTATCATTAGTAATGGCAAGAATGCTCTAGAGCCTTATATTTCGCGTTACCGAAAATCCCATTAACGGTGTACCGGGTAAATTAGGTAATTGTGATTTACGGGCCCTTTAGGATTTCTCTATTGAGTAAAGGCCTTGGAATATACTCGAGATCACGTCTCCGGAAATTACTTATATGTAATCTAACACCACCCATTCCTGTTGCAGGAATACCTTCAAGAAATCCGTATCGGTTTAGATTCCAAATTGTTCATGATTATTACTACAAATTATTATTAAGTATTTACAAATTATTATTTTTGTTCTATCACTATTTTATCATTCATTCATTCATTCTTTCTTTTTTTCTCTCTCATTTATTCTCAATCTATTTATTCATATATCATTCATATAAAATCAAAAAAAAAATAATAAAGAAAGAAAGTAAGAAAGAAAGAAAGAAAGAAAAAACGAAAAGAAAAAGAAGAAAAAATAGAAAAGAAAGAATAATAATAATAATAATAATAATAATAATAATAATAAGAATATCCTGAAAAGAACATTTCAAGAAAAAAAGGGAATAATCCTAAACGTGGCTCGAGCTTCACATCTCCCGTTAAAGATCGAGATATCGATAAAGCGTACGTTTAGAACGTGACATTGAATTTTAAACGATTATTTGAGAATAGGAGAAGAACACGTTAAACCTTTTTATTACTATATTATCGCGATTGGGTCAAGTAATTTCCTCCTACCTCCCCCCCCCACCCCCCACCCCATTAGTCGTAGCACGGGATTAGAAATTTCGTAGTGGTGGTACTTTTGATTTTTTTCTTTTTTTTTTTTTTTTTCAAAGCGAGAATTTCGAACACAGAGTAATTTCCGGTAGGAGGATAAAGGGGGGAGGAGAGGTGGCATTCGTGGAAGTCCGATAAACGAATTTGAAATGAAGAGAAGAGAGTATTATAGGAAAAAGGAAAATCAAGGATAGTAGGAAAATCGAAATCGCGTTTCGTGATACGTGGTTTTTTTTTTATTTTGTTTTTTTTTTGTTACGATTCGCAGTTAGAGATATACTCAATAACTAGATTCCGGTAGAATTTACTAGAGATCAACGTTCAAAGTTGTTCCCGACGTATAAACTCTAACAACCCCCCGCCCCCCCTCCTCTTCCCCCTCGTTTCCGTCCCTTCCCACGTTACCTTTACCGTTCCCGTTCCTTGCTGTGGTGCATTTCAGTTGAGAGTTTTTCCTTCTTTTTTTTTTCTTATTTTCCTTAACTTTATTATAAGCACTTTCGTTTCGTTTTAATCGAGATTATTATAGGAGGGTGGCGAGGTCAATAATATTATTCGCAATGTAAAATGGTGTAGATATATATATATATGTGTATATTCTAGTAATATGTAGTAGTAGAGGTATATGTGAAATAATTAAAGATCAAAGGCACGCTCAAACGTTTTCGATTTTCTCGTTTCTCTTATGAGTATATATATATATATTTATATATATATATACTTTTAGCAATAATTAGTTACGAATAAAATTGGATATAAAGAGGTTTAATAAGAGAATGCGAGCTCGAGGGATTTACGCGAATCACCCTGGACTTTAAGATCATCTCTCTACATTTTATATATATATATATATATATATATATATATATGCATGTATATAATATGTAATGCATGTATATAATATATGCATGTATAGTATATATATATAAAAATACTACTTATTTTTAAATATTTTTAATATTATAATCGTATAGAGAAAAGAGTTTATTTTTTTTATTTGTTTTTTTAATACTTTTTTTTGTTTTTTTTTGTTTTGTTTTTATTTTTCCTTGTGATAGATCAGGCGTTATTATGAGTAGATGATACGAAAAAGTGGGGGGAACGGGAGAGATTGATTCGTCGTGAATGAAAATGATAAACAGCGTTCATGATAGAATGCAATTGATGTCACATGAGATCGATTAATATGGACTATGCCTAAGAAGAATTATGTAAAAAAAAAAAAAAAAAAAAAAAAAAAAAAAAAAA